GCATTTGTTTCTTAGTTACGGGCGTTTTGGTAGTGCATTACACCGACCCTCCTGCGATTTCGGAATGGCGCGTGTGCAGGGAGATAGGAGTTGAAGGAAACTGGATTTTGTTGGCCCAGGACAGGGTCCGGTGGAGGGCTTTGGTTAATTCGGTGATGAACCTTCGGGTTCGGTAAGCCATCTAGTTAGTTAGTTAGTTAGAGATAAGTGTACGGGTTTTTATACGCGCACTCTTGAAACTTTCCGATCGCACCTCGTATAGCGTTTAACGTTAACATTAATGAGTGATAAATCTGAAAGGACGCGGAAGGAAGTGGTCGTGGCCGAATGAAACGAATACTATTTCAGTGCCGCAACTATGAACTCATTGCCTTGCTGTTAAGACTGTACATTTCACCCAACATTATTGGCTGCGAGTAGCTTGTTTGTAACTTGTAATGGTCGCAAGAGGGAACGCAGTGTAATTAACTAACCAAGAAACTCCATGGAAAATGGTCTCGGTTCGTGTTTATTCTGCTAACGTACAGGTATTGCTCTTGGTTGGTAAATAATTTACATTCCGTAACCTTTGTTGCTTTGTCATTGCTTTGTTCTGAGCAATGTAACTGTTATGGGTGTCCCTCACTGTAATTTATTGCGCTCTTAAATGAAATTCGCAGGAATTATGGACAATTTTTTAATAATGAGACGAGACCAAAACGCGAAGAGGAGAATTACGACATTTAATCCATTCTCAAGAAATATTCACATTAACACAATCTAAGAATTACACGCAATGCGAAATACAAAAAGCAAACAAAACACAATTCATCTGCACTACCCGAATTTAATAACCACCCAAATTTTTTCAGGGTAAAATGAAAATTTAAGTACTTTTGACATAACTAAAGTATTTATTTTAAATAAGTATAATACTTCATTAACACTACGTATTTCGGTGTACTGACATCATCAGGTGTGTCATGGTTTTATACATTTTAAGATTCACGTTTTCAGATAACAGCCGGGAAGATGAAATATTCTGAAATCCATGTCAGTAAGGGCTCTCCGAATTTAACCTACTCTAAAGTTCGTAGCGAATGAAATTTCAATTTGTTATTGTCGTTCACAATCATACGGACTTCGCCACATTTTCGTATAAAAAGTGTTCTGAACAAGTTCTAAACCCGGTAAACGACTGTTACACAGAAGAGAGACTGATACCTTTTTCTGCAAGCATTTTCTAATAAATCAATGTTAACTGGGGACTTGGTCGAATCCTGACCTCCACATCTAAACAGTTCTCCCTCCGTCCCCGTACCACCACATATTTTGCAGTTGGTACAACTGCAACCCTGTAGCTTCGTATTACTGGACACTAATTGGCGCTGAACACACGTCGGAGTTGAAACAAAAATATATAATCGTCATTATTTCATTTTTGTTTATTCAGCGTGCATCATCAGGACGGCTGCCATGGTGACCCTTCATTTTAATCACAAAGTTTACCTCACGCCGTATTTAAAATAACGTAGAACTTATCAGCTCCTTCCAATCATTTAACGGTTTCATCTGAGAGGACTAATTCTGTTATGGTTTCTTTGATTCCTAGAGGCTGGTTTTCTAACAGTAATTCGTATATTTATGTTTTAAATCAAGAAACAAATATTTAGTTCTCAATTAAGGTCTTCCTAGCAGGCGTAATTGTAACTTTTACCATTAAGAAATCGCCCTGATAATGGAGGCAGCAAGGACCACTGAAACGTTGGTAAACTTCTACCACACTGCACGGTACATCAACCCAGAAGACAGCCATCCTCTCTCACTATCACTGTATATTTTTAGTGGTCGTCCAAATCATGTTTACATTGGAACTAAATGTTTTTTGCCATCTTAAGAGCAGTCCCGACACTGAAACACGAACCAAAGCTGAGAAGAACACTGAAGTTGTACGTGAATTATCCCGGGATATGAGAAGCGTGTTATTGTTTGCATAAATGAGAACGGAGTTCACCTGTTGAGTTCAAGCAACGAAAATTGCGGTAACTAATTTATACGAGCTCCCATCCAGCTTCAAATGTTTCCGAGAACATTTCGTGGAAAATCTGCCATATAACATCACTCTGGGTTTGATGATCACTTGTATGAGAAACGAATCACCCGCTGACAGAGCTGATGTACAGCTGGGCACAGACAGGTCTGCAACACTGCAGATTGAACGTCAGTACTACGGCTCCTTATTTAGGGAGCACCGGGTTCATACCCCGGCCCCAAAATCGACTACACTCACCGATGTTTGTCCAGGCAAATTCTTCGATGGTACACCAAATTAGGTTAAAACCGTTTCCCCCTAATTCTTTTCAATTAATAATTCATTAGTCATACTATATATTAATAATTCGATGGTATATACCCCTAGTTACTGGTGCCGTTGTTAAATAAATCACACAGCGAGACACCAAACTCCGCTGTCGATATGACCAATCATCAAAGCGGAGATTTCACTCAAATATCTTGTGTATGGCAGAAAAATGTCGAAAAATGTTTAGGATAGAAGTTATGGAAAAGGCGGGCAAGGTTATGCACCTGCAAAGAGTAAGCAGTGATTGCTCTAAGCAGTTTACTGCTCAGGGAACGAAACTGAAGTTTTTTTTGTCATTCCTGAACAAGACGTCTTAATGAACTGCACGCTGTTGTCATATTGAAAGTCGTTTGTCTGTGGGATGCAAGAAATCTGTTCTCTACCTGTACACTGTAATTTTGTACTCCTTAAGAACAAACATTGCTAACTGGGCGCAAACAATAGACCCAACAAAGTTTATATCGAAATATAAAGTTCGAGATTTGCAGATAAAAAGAGTGGGTGAGCTGAACACCTTATCTGAGAAGTTCCGTGTTCCAATGTTGGTTTTCTGACTCAATGCAGTAGAAGACAGACGTACGCATACTGATTATGCAGATACTTTCTATTGATCATTGTAAAAGACAAACAAGCCACAGGAAGAAAATCTGTATTTACAAAGAGGCTTCAGAAAGTAAGAAAGTGAGTTTAGGAGGACAGAGTAAACGTCGAGTTGCCAGATCACTGGACCTGAGCTGGGCTCTGTCCAAACTTCATATCCCGAAATGCAAATATGGAAAGAGCTGGAAATATTGATTTTTCAGCAAGGGGTAATTCTGCTTATCTCAGTCTAAAGCAAAATATATAAAGTAAAAAATATAATTGCTACTGCGCACTCTCAGCTGCCAGGGTGTCTTTAGAGTACGCATTTTGCATCTTTGTTTTCCTTTGCATGTAAATTTAACTTACATTTTTATGAAATATTACTAAAAATATTAAAATGCGTAATTCACAACAATAAATATCTTGCATGCATGTTCTTATACGCTTATCACACATAGTTTGTTAGTACTTAATCCGCTAGTTCAAAGTTATGTTGTTCCAAGAGTGAAAAAAATTTCTCCCAGGAGTTTTGAATTGAAAAATATTAACGAGATTTATAAGGACCTATGGACCATGATATGTTTATACTACGAAGATGCCAGCAGTTGTTTTAAAAGTAACAGCAACTCATGAATAATGGAATTTGAACTGCTGAGAGAGGCCGCAAGGGACATGCGAGCGGCACGTACAAAAGGACTTTAAATTATGAATTCCACTTCAAAATGGGACAGACCGACTGCAACTGTTCGGTTTGGAAACGAACGCATTTCCATGAATTATAAACTTCGCCCCACTGCTCTCTTCTTAACTAACTGACTGACTGACTAACTCTCTTATAATAAAATCCATACTCATATATCACTAACAGGTAACAAATTCCATCATCGCACAAGACCCTGATCCAGTTTATCCTCATAACATTATTATATTTTTAAAATTATTCTTTTTTCATGTTCTAGAGTCTTCTAGAGTCGCTTTTCAAGAAGTTTCCAAACCAAAATTATAACCAGATTTCTTGCCTTCTCGATCGAATTACATGTTCAGTATTGATTAAATCCTTTGATACTGAAGTTCATCGAAATAAATTTTAAGCATTTAGTCCGTACCGCAAAGAAAACACCACACTTAACCATTACAAAAATCAACTAGTTAAAACTGCTTAAGTAAATAACATCTATTTACACTGAAAATCACGTGAAACACAAAATTCAGAGTTACTGACTGTTAAAGCAAGTGGTACATATAGTTACCAATGGGCTTCAAGGGATGAATCAGTGCGGGGTGCGTGAATGTAACTGGAGATTGCTTTGCGCCATACGACGTTAGATTTCCACAGATTAGCTTAAGACAGTAAAATATAAGTAATCTTTCTTTAAAAGCTGATAGGCGCCTAGCTAGTCAAGGAATTCTCCGCCTTTTATGAAACTCGGAAATCCATCCCTGTTTCACAATCTCCACCAAATTCGAGGCTCTGAATAAAACTTCGTATTATTTTGGATTTATGGTATTCGTCATCACCCACCCCGCCTAACCCGAAGCCGGAGGACGACCCTTTGTCGACTGCCCCCAACTTTTTATTCAATACATGCAGATTTAAAAGCCAAGAATAAGAAAATGACAAATTTAAAATTCCTTCATAATGCTGAGTTCGTTTTTAACGAAAACACAAAATATTTATTTTGTGCATTTCCTTGGTAACCCACGATTTGCACTGTTGAAAAGAAAGAGTCTCTTTAACTCATAATTTACGAAGGTAACAGTAATGGTTTCATTCAACCGATATTATTAAATTACAGTGACAGCGTTGACAAACAAGGTAATTCGTCTTTAACATTGAACCCGATTAAGCAAATGAAGGATTGTTCTTGCAGGCAACAACGAAATTACCAGAGCCACCGACACGCCTCCAAGTCTGATGGTGCTAGGCGTTCCTCCACAATCATGTCTGCGTTGATCACTTAGTTCTTCCTTGAAGTGACTCATATTCACAATTACCGTTCCACTCTTATATCCATACATTAAGCTACCGTCTGCCTGATCACTCCCCGTCTCACATATATAAGACGTCATATCCCTTCCTGTAAACGGGCGAGAATAGGCGAGAACTTCGTGGCTACAAAAATGTCCTCTATCGGAGGCGCGTCCTCAGATGCCGCTGACAAACACGAAACGACGGGAGAAACCGGGAAGATGATCCGGCTGAACCAGCCTGACGCCACGTGGGGGGAACAGCTGTTGAAGGCGGCCGCTGACCTGGCAGGCACTGACCACGACGGGTCGGATTCCGAGCTCTCGGACACAGACAACTTTCTAACCAAGGGCGCCTTTTTGTTGACGCCGAGTCACGAACTCAGTATGGAGAAAGCCAGCAGTATCTGCGAGAAGATGAACTTTAAGGGTCAGTTCTCCCTCACCAAGACGGCCACAGGCATCCTGTTCAAGTTCTCGCACCCAGAGGATTACCAAGCTGTGTTCAAGAAGGGCTTCCATAAGGTGACGAACGCGAGGTTCTACAAAAAGGTGAGTACCTCGTTTTCAAAATGCGTGTTTTGCGTACTGTCTTGGCCAAGATGTGCATTTAATGCATGTGTTAAACACATAAAATGTACCACGCCGTACGGATTCGTGAATTATTTTACTTTGCACTTCGTTAAATTCACACCATGCAGACAGAATGTTTTATAAACAGAGATCATCATATAAAAGAGCCCTGGGAGAGAAAAAATATATAATTTAAAGGTAGATCATCAGACGTCACGTAAAAAAAAAAGTTTAATAGCTCAGAATTAATTTTTATGTTTGATATCGTCCTTGACAATTCGCCATTTTGTGTTGGACAAAGGGGGCTCAAGTACTCCCAGAGTTTGTTCGCACGTCTGAAATATGATTTCGTTCGACGCAGCACAATTCCCGCACTTCTGGTGCCAGTTATAAGGATTTCTTTCCTCTAGATGCCGCTGCCCTAACAGAAGTTAATTCTCAGGGGATGCTCAACTCATATTTCCCGCAACCCACAATAAAAGCCTTATGACCTCTCAACAGAACAACATAACGACATTTACTTCTAGGAACACAATAAACCAACTGGAACTGAGTGTGTTTGAGAACATGGCCTGAGCGGGGCGAAGTGACAGGATAACTCAGAAGAAATTGCATAAAAAGGGTCCATAATTTGTAATCTTCACACTAGATGATCAGATCGTGACAGCGATAGCGGGGGCGGGGACATGTAGCGCGCATTGGTACGATGAGAAATGCGCACAAAATTTTGGTCGGAAAGCCTAGAGGGAAGAGCCCAGTTGGAATACATAGACGTGAGACGGTATTATTAGAACGGAAAAAGGAAAATAGAATTGGATACGCACAGTGTTTGGAGCTCAGACTACACTATAATTACTCAAAACAAGAGTCATTGCAGGACGTAAACATTTCTGGGTTTTATAATCCTAGGGTGAAGGCAGGCTTGCTATTACGAGGCAGTCTCGACAGGTACCCGATCTGACCTGCGATAGTTCAGCCGGATTTAACTAAATACTAAAATTTTTATCGGTATTTATTATTATCATTGCACAAAACTGTTCAACTCCATTCATATTACTGGTCTCACAAGTAGCACCTTCTGGCAGAGGATTCCAACGGACACGTAGGAGGAAAAGTATTTGTTATATACAAGACATTTTATCATCTCATGAGGTATTTAAAGCTTGCCAACGGAATACCAGTTGTCCCGCAGAATGACTAGTTAAAACAGAGAATATACATTCAGCATCTTTCAGTTTTCCAACACAATTAATATACTGACAAGTAAACTAACCGATACATGAATTGGGTAGCTGACTTAAAAAAAGAACTCACTGATAAATGACACAATCAATCAATATGTAGATATTCAACAAATTCCGTGTCTCTGTGATAATGGAACTCGAAGGTTCATCATGAACACTAAAATTTGATCAAATCTCCTCTATTCCTCAAGGATATATTTTAATATTATGTTCCATCTTCTCCTTTCCACAAGACACATTTTGATACTGTCTCGGGTCTAATCCTCCCCATAAGATTTTCTAGCCAAATGGATCCCAGTTTAAAAACCAAATCGGTGAAGTGACCGGAAAGCGACAGTCACGTTCAACTTTATGAATGAACGCACTGTACTATGAAAGACATTAAGCCCACAATGAGGCATGACGATTGCTTCCAGGTTCCTATCCCGTGTCGACCGCAGAAGACCTTTACAGTGTTTGCACTGGAGATCCCAGAAGACATTCCAGAAGAGGATATCAGACACTCCATGTACAAGTTTAACTCTGTAGTCGAGGTTATCAGACTTCCTAAGGACACAGGGATAGGAGGACCGTCAGGAACAGGCTCTACCACCATCGAAAAATCTAATTCAGCCAATCCAGGTACAGGTTAGTCGGAAGTGAAGATCATTCTCTGACTATACACCACGACATCAAAGCCCACGGGGAGAATCGAGGCTACGCGCTACACATTATGTAATATAAGGGGATGAACACCGAGATTAATGGTCTGGTAACTTTACATTCGGTGATAAAATTCATCGGTACACAATGGATAAGAGGTTGGATGGGTTCCACAGTCTGGCAGAAGTATACCGACGGTTCACAGGTACTTGCTGTCTCCATAATCAGGGCGATGATGACCCTGATGATGGAGGCAGCAAACATATCCGAAACTTCGACTTACATCTACCAGAGTACACGACGAAACATCCCAAAAGACAGCCATCAACACGCAGGTGAGTTTTTGGATAATACATTCGCATATTTATTTGTTGTGCACACGGTCCTTTATTTAATATAAATAACGAACTCACAACTCGATGAATATACGGACTTAAATCTGGACCCAATCTTGACGTAGCTGAGTCGAGATCATGTCATCACAAAGTATTTATGACCTCCTAGCAGCCGACAAGACGAGTGGGGGGTTACCGGTCATCGTCCCGCCACCTCCGCTGGTCAGAGTGACTCTCGCCTCACTGGAAGAATACAACATTCTGCTCCAGAATGGACTGGACTTCTACGGCGCCACGTTCTTCCCCACAGAAGCCGCTGTGTCCACGTCGGCGGTACGCACCAGCGGGAGGAAGTCCGTCTTGGGCAACAGGTGAGTGGACTGGCTCTACAGCGTCCCCTCAACGTGACTTCTCTAAAGAACGCCTGCTTCGATTTATACACGATTCGTTAATGTTATCTCTTCATTCGCGCTTTAATTTCCTACGTGTTCTCAGCTTTTAGGTTTTAAAACATAACTTCTGTGCTCATTTCTTGTTGCCAAAGCATGCTACATGTCCCGCCCAACTGAATCATCCACATTCAGTCAATCTAACAATATCAGGTAAACAGGACAAATTGTGAAGACCATCTTTTTTTATTCTGTCGGTCTTAAGAATTTGCCCTTTACTTGAAATACATTCAATAAAAGTGTGGAAATGAAATAAGTGTTTTTACAGATAAACAGAAACACAACTTTACTTATATGAGATCTGACGTTCTCGCAGCCGTGAAGATATTTATATTGGAATTCTTGTTTATGGCGTCGTACTGACGTGATGGTACATCTCAGCTTTTCGGAGAAATATTCTGCTCCAAGTACGTATAACTGGAATAGTTTCATTCTCGCACCTTCTAAACACTCGTCTACCTACAGGACTACGAGGTCTTAGAACCCATAAGACAGACGTCGTCTCAGCTTTATTCGTTCATGTGTGCGACAGGCCATCAGTGGCTGACCTATCTAATATTAACGTTAAAGTCGCCGTTCTGCTTGTCCGCAGGGTGTTCGACGTGGTAACGACTTCCGGCCAGCGGGTGCGCGACATGCTTCCGGTCTTCGACGCAGCTGGATTCTCCAAGATTCCTCCACCCGCAATAAAAACGATTAAGCCGCGCCGGGCCAACTGATGCGCGCGACCCACAAGTTGCTACTGACGTCACGCGAGCTACGGAGCAAATACACAACAACCACCTGGTCAGGCCACGACACTTTTCAAAAGCTTCGGCTGTCAGGCTTTTAGACATTCACACGAAAATTCCATATTTCATTAAGTTATGTAAATTATTCTGAAGAAGCTGAAGGGAGTTCTTTTTCCCACCAAGTGCTGCTCTGGTACACTCTGTAACTTTCAATTTAAATCTGAACCCACAAAACATGAAATTATGGGCGTAATGTCAGAACAATTAAACACTTTTACATGCAAGACAGCGTTTAATAATACGAGCCAGTCACTCCGCAGAAGAGTCGAACCGGTAACCCTCCAAGTACAAACCATGAGGGCCACGAAATAATTAATTATTTGCATCGAGAATATGGATTATGGCTTCATATTTATCGCGTGTTCTTTGCACGAAGTGCATGAAACTAAATCATTACATAGGGATCGTGTCTGTCTGTCTGTCTTTCCACGTTTCATCACCGAAACTGTAAGACCTACTTCGATTAAATCGAGAGCTTTAGGGCAGGGATCTAATGCTAAAATTGGTACAGCCAATTTTATCTTGGTTCGTATCCGAACAACATAAAACCTGCCTCAAAAGGAGATAAAAAACAATATTTTTCATTTTGCTAAAAACGTTTTGTTGCACAAACAACTTGTTCATGAAATAAAATAAAGATATCACTGATATCCATACTCCAAAATGAAACACATTACAGTGTAACATGCTCGTACGCTTAACGACGTCACCTGTTTCGCAGCATATTTTTGGTGTCATGTATTATCTTCGCTACAGCAATTTTCCATTACCAGTAATAAATTAAAATTTAACGCGATAACGTATGCATAATCGCAAAGCAGGGTACACCTTTGCACTCTTACAGTTTAAACTACAAGAGAAAGTTTTCTAATCGAGGTATTTGCACACAGTACACACATACAGGGTGTCCCAAAAAGATAAACACACAGGTTATTATCCCGTATTATAGTGTATATACATCTTTATGCGACAACCTGTACACACAATTATTTCACTGTCATCTCTAGAAGCTCTTCCCCTTCCAGCTCGCGTCCGACAAAGCCAGCTGTAACTTCCTACGACCATTTCATCAGGAAAGCGTTGTGGCCAGAACTCTGTAATCTAGTTTTGATGTGACGTCAGAAGAAACAAAAGAGAACGCTCCGGAAATTCTCTAGTCTTAAGACCTTAAAGTACACGAAGGAAGAGGGTGTGAAATTAATGTTAAACAATAAAATATTTCACCTCTTCATAAAAATCAACTATGTTTATCAAGGCATTATTTCTTGCTTGAATACCGAACATGTAAATCTTTGATTCTTTAGTTTTGATAAAAAAAATGCTCAGGTTAATAGATAATGAAGAAAAGGAGAGAGAGAGAGAGAGAGAGAATTCTGTGAGCAAAACGGAGAAAGCAGTTGGTGTATATAGTTGCCACCGGACTTCAACACTTTAAAGCCCAATGGTAATTATACATCCCACCTACTTCAACGATCAGTAAATGTCTATTTTGTATTTACGCGTTTCGTATGAAACAGCAATCATTTCCTTAAACTGAGTTAACCAACTGATCCCGGTTATGGTGAAGGGTTGTGTTTTCTTTGCGGTAAGGACAGAGTTATTAAATATTATTTAGACGAGCTTAAAGTGTCCCACGGGCATTGCCTGGGAACCTTCTAACTAGAAGATTCTCTTCTCCCCACCAGAAACAAAGTTTGTCTTACTTCTCCCCCACAATATTCTCTTTGTTTCTACTCTTCTGCTATCCTTCTAACCCCATCTCTCTCTTTTCGGCTTTAAAGGTTTAAAGTGACTCCCCATGTCAACATCAAAATTTCAACAAACGCGACCCTCCTAAGGCTAATAACGAGATTCAAAATTGTGCACGAACGCAGTCAGCTTCTCAACTGTCCTCATTTTTCTTCATTTTACCTTCCCACTTCCAAATGCTATACCTACCATTACCATAAGGACGAGCTGGCAATGCCTGGGAACATTCGTAAATGTAATTTATGACCTATGTTAAATGCAGTGTCTATATCTGCCCCCCACTTTCTCTTTTATCTTCGTCTTCAAAGGGTTAAGGGCTCATACAGAAGCAGAAGGGCGTAATGTTAAAGCCACTAACTGCCCTGGATCGAAGCATTTGAATTAATGGGGCCATTTGGAATATCTAACAGTTCTGTGGCCACAATGCAGATGTTTCCAAGTCACAAAAATTAAACAGCCATTATTCAAATTGCTATACGACCCGAATCGCGTATATGAGCGGATTTTACACTCTGAATTCAATCGAATGAGTTTATTGGTTTTAATAAACGGTAAACCGCAAAATTACTGCAGTTAAGGCCCGTGAATGAGACTCTATTTAGTAATAAAATTCGTTCAATATTTATTTCCTATAGCTACAGATTCCACGTGAACAAAAACCTGTAGTTGTTCTTAGCCAAATCGGTACCATCAAATTCATGTTACATCTTCATTCTAACAAAAGCGGGAAAAGATTTAACCCTTTGAAGACGAAAACACGACACAACACCATTACAAACATCAAATGGAATCCCTCTTTATTCTGAGAATCATACAAAACCCTTAAATACAAAATTCGAAGTTAATGATTATTTAACCAAGTGGGACATATAATTCCACTTAGACTCTTTAAAGGGTTGAATTTTAATTGAAGATATAAATTACTTTCACTGCCTGAGAGGCGATTATAAGAGCTAGGGCAAAGCTTTAGACTGTTTAAAATTAATACTTTTTTTAGATTCTCTGTTTTTGCGGTAGCGCTGAGTTATCGAATGTAATTTAGCTGGGCTGTGACACCTAGGTTTCGGAGGAAACTTGGTAACCATCTGCAGGACCAAATAGTGTCGCAATCCACAAGGCCATAACTGAAATTCTGTATATTTATTATAGTCGATTCTCGATTCCATTGTGTATTGTGTAGAACAAGACATTTCTATTTCGTGGGTACCTACAAATTTTATTTAACACAGTTTCTTTATTTGGATAGATTCACTTAGCCAAATACACACAAAACATATTAAATTATTAAGTAAATTTTAATCTTGAAATTAATTAAACTGAATGAAATATGTAAATGTCCACCAGAACCTCTCTACGGGCAAAGAACAAAAAATCAAGCAGATTCTCAAGAAATACAGCCCTTAAATTTAACCAATTAAACTAAAATCAAGGTTGCCAGACTGAATATTTGTCGAGACACATTCAGCAAGCAGCCAGTATGGTCGATATCGGGTTAAATTAAAATCGATCTTACAGAAATCGACTCTGAATTGAATTCAGATGTCTTAGAATCGTGCCAGTACACTGGATTTGATAATGTGACACTGAAGCCTCAAGATCTATGACCACAAAACAGTCAGCGATCAGTCAGTTTGCTGACTGCTTACTTTTTGTTCACTTGAGGTAAAATTCCGTAGTCTAAAATTAGGTAAAGATTCGAGCCGAGCGACTCAGATTGCTGGAACCATACACAGTCACTGTTTCACTGATAAAATACAACCCTCAATTCCCCTTCTCCCGTTTATCCAATCACAGTGCGATATCGCGTCGCGATAATAATTAAATTGTGCACACAATTCTCGTGTGGTTACAGGCCTGCTCCATGTCGAAACACAGACGAATTCTGATTCAATTACAAACGCGCCAATTCGTTCCCTCTCGGTTAAAACTGCTTTGGCTCCTGATACAGCTGACTCGGCATCTTCAGCGCAGACTTTTTAATCACTATTCGATTCACACTAGACGCGAGGTCCAAGCAGTCAGCGGTCTATGGATAAGAGATGCTACAGTGGCCTCAGATCGACTCCTGCCATAGTCGATCACCATTTCAACTGTATTTTGGGAGTTCTGGGGTTCTTGAGCAATACTTTCAGCTTGAAGTACAAATTCCAAAGACACTGAACTGTAGTGTGTCAACTATAAATATTATTACTGCTCATGATCGTTATTTATTTTTGTTTATTTATCGACGATCTCAATAAATCCAAAAATTAGGTGAATAAACAACTGGAGACGATGTCGAAGGAAGCTGATTTGGGCTATTATACCACCAATTGTCTGCAGGGGCTGAGGAAAACCACGAAAATTTTTAGTCGTGATAGCCGACCTATGAGAAGAGATTTCAACCCAGGTACTTCAAAACAATCAACCGCGGCTAATAACTCTCCCCGGATTAAGTATGATTTAATGAGAATTTAATTTTACGTTTCAGAGTTTCTTTGGCAACATAATTTATACTGTTAAAAATATGCGAATTGTTAAGAGCTCGCAGAAGATTTCACATTCACTTTAGGCACCGAATTTATTCAAAGCAGGAATAAGCGGTTTTCATTAACGAGATATATCGTTCGTAACATGGAAAGGATTAAGAAGCTGCCGTGGCCTATCTGAAGATACTATCGAAATATATAAGCATAAAGAATTTCAAGGTCCCCATTAGGATTCAAACCGAATGCCTTGAAGTGACTACGGAGGATGTAGAGAACAGCACTTGTCGCTGTCCAACAGATAAAGGCGCAACAAGTGGACAGAAGCTCTGCCGTGGGATGAAACAGGAAGCAGAAATAGACGCTGATGGAAATGAAACAGAAAATCACTTCGTGAGCTACCGCTCAGATTTATGCCTCATATTCCGGACATCCCGGGTTAGAGGTTTGCCCGGGGTAAGCCATCCTAAGTTTATTTCGTTATTTTCTGCTCGGTACATAAAAGAAAATTCTGAGATTCTGTATTAAAACAGCTTATGGCCGCTTCCTACAATGCCATCCCCATTTCATCATACTTAATTTGATTTCATCCGACGTCATATCGCCTGTACAATATGGTGTCGCGCAGTTAAATGAAACAAGGCAAAATATTAACAGAACCGGGCAGTACTGCAGACTATCTCTGTTTTGCTCAAATGCCCTTTTCTCAGACGCGAAATTCTGTTCCTTGCCTTATAGAAATAACAAAGATAAGATGAGATGAGAAACGATAAATTTAAATGAACACTCAGGTGACCAGAGACATTTACATAACTAGAATCTTAATTGTTTATACAAAGAATGGGGGCGGGGCGTGGGGTCCAGCCGTCGAAGGAGTGACAATTTTAACTATCAATTGTTATGTTTTTTACACTAGTATTTTAATATAGGAAAATGTATCGCTTTGTAGTCTGTAGTCTGGTACAAGTTTACCAACATTTCAGAGGTCCTTGCTGCCTCCGTCATCAGGTCAAATCATCAGACCAAAAATTCTAGTGAGAATTTTTTTTATTATTTTTCACAACCATATTAATCAACTGACAAAGTTACTGTTTCATACCAAACACCGATCTTACGTGTTTTCGAAAGCAGATGTTACGACAACAGTTATCGAACCGAACGACAGCAAAATGCAGGGTGAAACAGAAAGGGACGGGAAGGAAAGACTTACTAACTTATCGCAAAAATTTGCCTAGCCAAGATTCGAATCCGAATCCCTGCTGTATATTGCCTTCTGAGCCCCCTTTCTGTGGTAATTAATTTCACTGTGTCTCATCTCATTCCATGCCGAAGCCATTGCAACTTGATGAATTTCCGCCTTCTCCCCAATATAGGCAGTGACATCTCTTAGTGGCGAAGACAAACTACCAATAAAACAAGCAACCAACGCTCTTAATTTCCTGGACCAGCTCAGGACACAGCGGGGGTTACGGGATGGACTGGGAAAACAAGGCGGCTGCAGCAGTTGCACAGAACAGGACGAAATTAAACAATGACTTAAGCTACTTTCCACACACACATAAGCAAATCGACTACATTTTCAGAATTCAATTTACTAGTCGAGTTGACAAATTTCACTATTGAATTCTGCTATCTAATGGCAACTCAGTAAAATTTACATCACCTCAAACACTTTCATTATTATTATTATTATTATTATTATTATTAATTGAATTGAATAGAATAGAATTGAATTATTATTATTATTATTGAATAATAATTCAATCCAAATGAATTGAATTATTATTCAATATTTTCTGCCTTCTACGTATCCTCTTCGCAAACATTATAATTATTTATATGTTTATTAGTATTTGTCTGTCAAAGACTCTTTGTTGTTGGCAAACAATAAAGAAAATGAATGCTGATTTTATTGTTATACAGTGATGAGGTCGTCAAAGTTGCTTCCAAAGTCCGGATGGAAATGGTATTTATAGCAAATGACAGGACCTAACAATACATAAATTTTCAAGATTTACTACTACTAACAACAACAA